CAGCCAGGCGGTCGCGGGGAGGAGAGGAGAGGCGCTTGGGCTCCCTGGGAGAAGAAGGAGGGCCGAGGCACTGCCGGGCTGCAGAGGGTTGCCAGGTCCCCAGTGGGGGTGGGGGGTTAGGGTTGCCGGATCCAGGCTGGGAGACCCCTGGAGATTGGGGGATGGAGCCTGGGGAGGACAAGGGCCTCGGTGGGGCCACACGCCATCGAGTGTCAGTCCACCCTCCAGAGCATCCATTTTCTCCAAGGGAGCTGACCTCCATCGTCTGGGGATGAGCTGCAATTCCAGGGGACACCCAGGTCCCACCGGGAGGGTGGCATCCCCTCGCAGGGAGCTGCGGGGTGGGACAGGCAACGGGCCGTCCCGTTAGGTGCGCGGCTCCAATCGGTGCATGTGCGCTCCGGCGCTCCTAGGATGGACACGTTGCGGTGTTGGAAATCCAGGGCGAGGACGGGGCTTTTCTGGATGCAGGCCCGCAACGCACCCTCCCTGTGCGTTCCCCTCCTGCGCGCGTGCATATGCAAGTCCTGTTGGGTGACACTGAGAAGCCTTTAGGGAGCGGGACCGGGAATCCTCAGAACCGGGAAGTTCGGCTCTGCAAGACCCTTCTGTTCGTCTTAACAGAGTGTAGTTTTTGCATGACTTAACGCCCAAAGGGTCATTTGGACCACATTTTGTATCTGATTGCACACACTACATATGCGTGTATGTATTAAGTGCTGTCACCTCGCTTCCGACTGATGGCGACCCTATAAATCAGTGACCTCTAAAACAACCTCTCTTAACAGCCTGGCTCAGGCCTTGCAAACGGAGGGACCAGTCTGCCTTTCCTGAGTCAGTCCATCTCATGCTGGGTCTTCCTCTTTTCCTGCTGCCTTCAACTTTCCCTGGCATTATTGTCTTTTCCAGTCACTCTCTTTTCAGAATGTGACCAAAGTAGGATAGGCTCTGTTTAGATTTTTCACATCTAAGCACAACCCTGTAGCCACTATACTCTACTGCTTCTTGGGGAGTGAGCTTAACCGAGCATGTGTAAAGCAGACACTAGGCCTCAGAGCTGGTGTGCTATGCATGTCACAGTAGTTCTTACTCTTAATCTTCAGATTAAAATATTAGGTTACCATTCTGCTAGTAGAGAACCTCTAGCATCAGGGGAAGCAAAGAGCCTCTTTTAGTGGGATGTCTGTGCAGGATCCAGTCCATTGGCAGCACATTATTGTAATGTGACTGTGACATTTGATGAGTCTAGAGAGATCTTTTCTCTCTCAGCATCTAGTATTTAGGGCCATCCAGAGAAACCATCAGTTCCATATGGGTAGCTGTGCCTGTAGCACCACCATAAAAGGCTAAAGGCTAACAAAATGTGTTACTGGTGAGCCCGGAGTTAAGGATAGAGAAAGGGAAGTAATTTATGCAATGCAGAAAATAGCTCACAGAATTTACTCCAGCAAAAAAAATGGGGACGGGTGTTGCCCTAGATAATGGGTGCTTTCACATGTACTAAATAATGCCGATTCAATCCAATTCAGTGACTGTTTGCAAGTGGGATTTTCCCATTTCACACAGTAAGATCCAGTTGCAAAGTGCATTATTTACAGTGTGTGAAAAGTGCCAGTGTCCAGATTGGATTGGATGAAACCATGGTCAATACAGATATCCGTAATTGTGAGGTATGATACCTAAATGCAAACTTTATGTCCAGAAAATCACAGCTTAGTTGACTTATGTCCGTCCATCATGCCTTGCACATTAGGTTTGTAAGAGATTAATCATTTCTTTTGGAAATGGGATGTTAGGCCAGAGAGATTCTCAGGCAGCACGACAGTTCTGGTATGTGCCATAATGGGGTTTCCTCTAAGAATGACCTTGCTGGATCAGGCCAGCATCCCCTTTCCCTGTGGCAGTGAATCCTAGTAGTAATTATCAGAACATGCATTGTGCTTTATCGGAGCTTGCACTGTAGATATGAATTATGATAACCACCAGGTGTCTGTGAAAACCGGAAGTAAACAGACATGATGCTCTCCATAGTTGTCAGAAATTCCCCAACTGGTATTAAACTCAAATGTCCTGGAAAGTTCTCCATTTTTTAAAATTCGTTTATTGTATTCGTGAGAGGATCAGGTATATATTTCAGATGGCAAGTGGGTAAGTACCTGTAAAAGCTATTGTTGGGAGAAATTCCCTTTCAGCAGTAGGTATGCCAACCTAGCAGTTCGAAAGCAAGAAATTGCAAGTAGATAAATAGGTACCACTTTGGTGGGAAGGTAACAGCGTTCCGTGCGCCTTGGTGTTTAGTCATGCTGGCCACATGACCACGGAAACGTCTTCGGACAGTGTTGGCTCTTCGGCTTTGAAACGGAGATGAGCACCGCAACCCTAGAGTCGGATCCGACTGGCTTTCGAGTAAGGGAACCTTTACCTTTATGGGCACGAAATGCATTTTTGTGGTTCAGTTCGTGGTTTGTGCCTGAACTACAAACCAGTATGTTGGTTCGCGAACTGAAGTGGTTCACTGTCAGCCTTCAAGAAGAGACTGGATGATTATTTGTCAGAGATGCTTTAGGCTGGTCCTGCGTTGCACTGGGGGCTGGGCTAGATGGTTTGTATGGCCCCTTCCAACTCTATGATTTTGTGTATCAGTTCAGGACCTTGCTTTCTGCTCCCAGCTGCTTTCTACTCTTCACCAACTGGCAGCTCTTTAGTTTACCAGTGATGATGAACTTCAGTTTGTGTGCCGGTTTGTGACCATCCCTATTCAGTACATCATAGCTCTGTAGAAAATAAGGAAGAGCTTTGTTTCAGAACACCCTGGCAGCGTGGGACTCAAAAGAACAGCCTCCATTCTGTACTTTAAGAAACCAGGCAACATTCAAAGACCTATTCAGACTACTGTTTTGCAGCGAATAGCGTTTCTGCAACAAGTAATAAAGATGTACGCATACACACTACAGAATTTGCATATGCTCCCGTTTCACATAGCAGCTTTTTTTTGCAAATAACATTTTTATTAAGTTTTTAAAATATGAATACAATAAAGAAAAATAGGCTTATCTAAACTTTTTAACAGCAATACAAACTAAACATTAACCAAAAATATCTTACATAAAATCTAACGTGTACTAGTAGAAAGCAAAGTCTTTATACTTCTGTGGCAGAGTAAAAGTCCGTTGTTGACAGGCTGCAGTATATTCAAAGAAGACATACCGCTTTTCCCCAAAATTGTTTTCAATAGTGGGGTTATCGTGTGTTGAAAGCTGCATTGCAATTTTATCTGAGACAATCATATCCCATACCTTTGTCCTCCATTGGGCTATTGTAGGGATTCTGTTTAATTTCCAGTTTAATGCTATTAAGTTCTTAGCAGCCATCAGTAATGTTGAAATAACTTCCATCATTTGTCTTGACAGTCGCATCCCAGGCCAATAATGTAATAAAAGTGAAGCAGGAGAATTTGGCACTTCATGCGTAGTTATTAATTTGATCTCATTCACTATTCTGGGACAAGCCCACCAACAATGTGTTGGATTCCCTATTTCGCCACAACCCTTCCAACAAGTTGAGGTTGATTTAAATTTACTTTTAAATAGGCAGTCAGGTGTAAGATACCACCTCGCATATAATTTGAAATGTTGTAACTTTAAATTGATAGATCTACTGTTAAACATGCTAGAAGACCAAATTTGGCTCCATTGTGCTTCTGAAAACATCATCCCACAATCTTTATGCCAAGCTAGTTGGATCGAAGAAAGATTTGTCCAAAATATGATATATTTTTGCTAATAAATCTTTAAGTTCCTGGCCTTGTTTTTTCAAGAAGGATTCAAAGGATGTCAGATTTCTGTGGATATTTTGATGTATCACTGAGATTCGTCAACATATGATGAAGCTGGAAAAAGGACAGCCATGAAATTGAGGTATCATACTTCCATTTTATTTGTTGTTGCGAGCCAATTTTACTATTAAAAAGGAAATCGCTTATCCTAAAAATGCCTTTAGTCTTGAAGTCAGACATAAAGTGCTTGTCCATACCTGGAAGGAACCAGGGCTGCCCAAATAAGGAAGCTACTTGGAGACACTCCAGGGGCCAAAAATGTCTGTTTTTATGCCATAATTGTAGGGTGTGCTTTAAAAAAGGATTAGACAATTTCGAAAGCGATTGCAAGCTTGTATTATTCCAAATAACATCGTGAAGATGATTTGGTAAAATTTCCAAGGGTTCAATATGAAGCCAGGATTTGGTGCAGGAGTAAAGAGAATAGTAATGGATGTTTCTTAATTGTGAAGCAAGATAGTATTTCTCTAAGTCAGGTAGTCCTATACCCCCCAATTTAGATGGTTTGGTCAATGTGATATAGTTTAACCTAGCCTTCTTACCATTCCATATGAATTCAGATATCAATTTTTTCCAAAGTGAGATATCTTTTGCTGGGGAGAAGAATCGATTTGAGGAGCTTGACCTTTTCTAGGAGATTTAGGTGTTGTTCCATTCAGTCAATGTAGCTTTAAATTGTCTTATGAGTGGGCCATAATTAATTGCATACATAGCAGCTTTTTCACGGTGTGCTGTGTAAATAACATTAATTTACACGTCAACAGTTCTAATCTGTGAATTAACACTCAAACATTCTTCCCACTTCAATGAAATAAATTCTTTCCGGAAACATGTGAAACGGGAGTATATGCAAATTCCGTAGGGTGAATGCGTACATCTTTATTACTTGTTGAAGAAACACTACTCACTGCAAAACAGCAGTCTAAATATATTTTCATAATAGTACATCATGGTTGTTTTCATCATTGTTTGCATCCTTCCGCTGATCTCTCTGTTGTTTCTACAACATTCAAAGATCAGCAGTCGAGGAAGGAGTTAGTGAATGGAGTGTGCATAAGGGAATATGAAAAAATGTTCACAAAGGACTTTCTTCCATTAGGTAATGGAGCCATGAGTGACAATGAAGAGGAGACCACATTTCTACAGAGAGGCGCTGAGCATGCCAACAGCCATGATGTGTTTTGTGCACTGTTTGCGATGGACGCATCGCAGAATCCCAGTACAGAAATGGCGTGTGAGAGCCATCAAGCAGATTCGTCTGAGGAGGGGCGGGAAAAGCCCATTGGTTGTGAAAGAGGTTTCCGGAAACGGAAGGACACCATCGTTCACCAAAACATTCTTCCAGGTGAGAAGCCGTTCATCTGCGTTGAGTGCGGGCAGAGCTTCAAGCGGAGTTCGGACCTGGTTAGACATCATCTGATCCACACGGGAGAGAAACCGTACTCGTGCGGGGATTGCGGGAAGAGCTTCAACCGGCACTCCCACCTCATCCAGCACCGGCGGATCCACACGGGGGAACGGCCGTACAAGTGTCAAGACTGTGGGAAGACCTTTAGCCAGAGCACTCACCTGGTCCACCATCAGCGCAACCACACTGGAGAGAGGCCGTATGTGTGTGGCAAGTGTGGGAGGCATTTCTACCAGAACTCAGGCCTCCTTCGGCACACCAACTGCCACTTGGGGCGGAAGCCATACCGGTGCGCCGACTGTGGGAAGTGTTTCACTGACAACTCCAACCTGGTGGCTCACCAGAGACTGCACACGGGTGAAAAGCCGTACAGATGCTCAGACTGTGGGAAGTGCTTCAGAGAGAGCTCCAAGCTCTCTGTCCATCGCCGAACCCACACAGGAGAAAAACCTTACAAGTGCTCGGAGTGCGGGAAAAGCTTCAGCCAGGGTTCACATCTCATACAGCACCGCCGGACCCACACGGGTGAAAAGCCCTTCCAGTGCACCGAATGCAGGACCCGGTTCAGCGACAGGTCCACCCTCATCAGGCACCAGAGGACCCACACAGGGGAGAAGCCGTTCCAGTGCGGACAGTGTGGTAAGATCTTCAGTCGCAACGCTTATCTTGCTGCCCACCGGAGGGTGCATAAGTGGTAGGTGTCAGTTCCGCGCAGTGGAGGCTTGGGGTGAAATCTCAATTGCGCCTCGGACTCTTTAGGTCAGGGGTCTCCAACACGGGGCCCATGGGCACCATGGTGCCTGCGAACACCTTTTCTGGTACCCACCAAGTGTTTTAGGAGATGGATGGGGCCAGGTAGGGCTTTTGCCCAGCAAGGCTTCTGATTGGCTACTGGAGATTTGATTGGCTGTGCAGTTTTTTTTTAAAAAAATGTTGCTTTGGCAGCAGTTGCCACCACTGCACAAGCATCTTTACTATGTAACTGAAGGTCAGCTGCAGCAGCATTTTGGGGCGGGGCTGCTTTCAATGGCAGCCATTTTGTGGCAGCCATTTTTTGGCTGTGCCCACCAAGCTATATCAGAATTCCAAAGGTGCCCACAGGCTTAAAAATGTTGGGGACTCATGCTCTAACCACTGTACCATGCTGGCTTTCTGGCTACCCTGGCACCTGAGGATTTAATATCATGCCACACTGTTTATGTGTTCTAGGAGTTATGTTGCAACTTAATTCACACGCAAGCAGGGTCCAGTTGAGATTGGGACAATGGTACACTAGGGACACGTAGTTTAAGCCTTCCCCACACACCAGTTTCTTAACTTAAATGGCCCTGGGCAGTTGCTATTAATTTTCCCCACTGGAAACTTATGTATACTTGTTAGGGACAATAACATTTGCCCCAGGGCAATAACTTTTGCCCCACAAAGAAAACAGGCAGAAAATCAAAGTGGAGGTAGTACAAAGATCTTTATCTGGTGTGCATCAGGGAAACCCAGCCTAAGTCCAGAGACTCGGGCCTGAGCTCAGAAACTCAGGCCAAGGGCTTCGTAGTTCTGTGGTTACATACAGTTTTTATACAATTGCCTAACATATGCAAGCTTCTAATGCCCTATCACGACCGCAAAAAGTCCCTGTTTGTTAGTTGATTGGTCAAC